AGTTTAACACAGCACAGTGCCACGAAGACAAAGGACCTTCCAGGGGAAAATACACAACTTATTTGGATGGGGAAATAGTCCTGAAAATAATCTAAAGCCACGTGACTGGATCATCTAACAGGTCACTTCCTCTTTTGTTTAAATTGTGATGAATCGCTTTAGTTTTTCTCACAGCCCTAGGATCAAAAATTTAGGTGACAAAAGTTAAGCTGCTTTTACTATCAAACTGATTCTACTTCACGGAAATAGAAATTCATGATCTGTAAAACATACTTATACTTGTATATACACATCTCCAAAGCTTACAGATTCAGGTTGGTATTTTAGAGCAATGATTTTGATCATTGCAAAAAGGAGCCCTGAATACTCATGTTATATACTAAGAGCATTTGCTAGACAATTCCGAGTTCCTCGAAGGGAACAAGGAAGCTGATTTGGTTCCTGTACTGAACACCCCTGAGCTCCAGATTATTTTAGATCTAACGTTTTCTGATGTTGCTGAACTTTCTATTTTATCCTTCCAGCTTTAGCAAGAGGAAAACAGTATGATGAAGATTTTCATTTCTGGAAATTGACTTTAAACAACAAAAAGGGACAGTAGTGCAGAAAGAATTAGCAGATCATTTCATAAGTTTAATTATTCATATTTTCAATCTGGTAAAATTAGCATTGCCTGCTCCACGGTTTTGCTTCCCTTCCCCTTCCCATCCTTTGTTGGAAGCTAATTACAACACTGTTTACTTGGGAAACTCACCCTGGCTCATGTGATTATATAGAAAGAAGCTGAGAACTTACCTTTTGTCAATACTCAGACTATTTAACAGCAACATGCTTGTCGGGTGCTCATAAGAAAATGGTTTAACAAAGTTATTGCTCCAAGCGTCTAGCGAGAGGGGTGGCTTAGATCATATTCCAAAATGTGTTAAGACCCAGTAACTATTACCTCACAGAAATCACTCCGATTTACTGTCCAACTGACTCATCCCTTTTGTTTTTTATTATTGGGTTGCCTTACCTAAGCTGCATATTCCTAGCTATTCTTTCTACAGTACAAATGTTTCTATACTACCAAAGGGAGAAGAAAAGCTCTCTGAGCTTGAACCCAAAAAGAAATGGGAGAAAATACTCTACAGGCTTATCCCGTACAGGATGTTAGCACCTGAAAAAGAAAGTTAATTTCATTTATTCCGCCTTAAGTACAATTTCTACAAGGCAAGATGGAAAATTGACTGTGTGTGGATTGCTAACATTTCTTCCTAACCTTATAGGAAGCGTGTCCCATTTCCCTGCAGGACACTGGCTGCAGACCTGTATAATCACTACTGAGGCCCGAGCTGAAGGGGCAACTTGAGGTTTTCAGGGACGTCAAAGGTGAAGATTCTGTGACTTTCTCATATAAAAACCACAAAATCAGAAAACAATGACTATCCTAACAACAGGAACCGGGGTTTCTTACCACTAGGCTCAAGGAAAGCAAAGGTATCTAAAGCACACTTCCTTCTAAGGCTTCGGGTCCAAAGGGAAATGACGTTAGGTAGGTCAACCTTTATTCCACAAAGAAAGGAGGGATTTTGGTGTAATCGGAGCTGCTTCTCCTTTCAGGGGACTCTAGGTCCAACTGGAAGACCGAAACAGAGAGAACTGAAATCAATTTTCTTGAACTGTTTTGAGGCTAGAAATCAAATTTCTCAGGACCAGATACTGAAATAGGAGCATCAATAAGCATAAAAGTGATAAGTTTTTTTATACTTATCTGTCACAGAGACCATCTACGTATGAAATATGAAAGTCGAATATCTTGTGGCTATTTAATATCCCATACAGGTCAAGATTTTCTTGATCTTTAATAGCTCTCTTACTATATATAATGACATTGATGACCCTTTTAAAAGTATGAATAAGGAAGTAGAGGTACCCAAAATATTGCTGCTGTCCATAACTTAACTAGAAGTGGGGTGGGGGAGGGGATGGATGGGTGGGGTAAGGATAACAGTACCCCCTTTCAAACCAAAAGGTTGACACCATTAGAATAGCCCAATCATGCCTTTTCAAAAATGTTATAACTTGGCTAAGTAGCTAAAAACACCAGAACAATTTTGATTTATACTAGGCACTAACAATCATCAGACTTCAATAATATAGTTTAAACCTGCAATAGAAAAGAGTTTAGGGGAACTAGCTATCAAAAGGACTTCCGTTTCCCTCATTAAATAAATTCTCTTGGAGGTCCTTTCCAATTCTATAATTCTAAAAACTATAGATATAACCTATCCTGACATCGTACAAACATTACTTTGCACATTTGCTATTATTCAGAAAGGAAATGTGGGTCTATCAATATGGATTTTTCTCAATTTAAGTTCTATGCTTCTGAGTGATCATGGTGAGAATTTCATTCATTCATTTTCTTTCCAGATATTTTTATCTGGGTACAAGATTCTATAAGTAAAGCACACACTGCTTTATCTAAAATTATGGCAATGCTGAAAAATGCCTGACAAAAGTAGAATAATCTAGTCAAAGAAAGGGTCTGAGCTACTGAAGAGAGAATGGAATTCTATTATATCATGCTAAATATGATTATATAAATGATGTGGTCCATCACAGCATCAGAACAAAATTCATCAGAATCATGTTCAATAATTTGACAATTTATTGTCAAATTATCACACAAAACTGTTAGACCAGCAAGCTCTCTCCAGGTAGCACTGTTGGCTAGCCTCATCCCAGCTATCAAGATCAGAAAGTTAAAACCGGATTTTAGTCATATCCGTGGTATCATGATCAAACTCTTAATTTATCCTTTGCCGCTAAATCACTACATTTTCTAAAATGTTTTCCAAAGACAAGTAAATATAGCACAAGTTAGTCTGTCTTTTCAGGATCTAAATCAGGATCAGAATGAACTCATTTTTTTTCCCTAATCTGTTTTGATAATTTTTCGATAGCAAGTTGTGTTTCTCATTATTCATTCAGCTACCTTAATATTTCTAACACTTAGTAACAGTTCAAGATACCAAGGGGAATTCCTACTCTTGTTAAAGGTTGATAGAAGCAGGAGTGGTAATTAACATAAATTTCTGTAATCACTGTGAACCATTAGAACCCAAGAGTCACCCATGGGGAAATCTTAGGAGACTTAGAAAGCTTCCTTGGTCTATTAGTAAAATTATGCGAAGATGTTTCCTAAATGCCATGAAATGACATGACAGACTAGTCTTTGGTTGGTTGACATATAACTTGCTTACCCCACTCCTTACTTCTAGAAAGTTACAAAATCTCTGTGCAAGAAAGGGTCCCTTAAGATTAGAAGACTAAGAAAAGTAGATGGTTTTGCTTACACTTCCTATCTCCTTCCTTCAACGATTCTTTTCCCCTCACCAAGTCATTAAAACTGGAAAGCACTTCCATTAAGAGGAAGGCTAATAGCTATTAATCTTTTGCAAGATACTTCATCAGAAAATCCTAGGGTGTTTCTCTAGAACATTTTCTTCCCTGTCCACTTTAGTTTGACTGATGCTGTTACAGGCATGGCTACGGTTACAGAAACTTGGATGACATTTAGAATGTAAGGCAAGCCATGTCAACACATGGATGTGAAAGAAATAAAAGTGCCATGTGGAAAATGGAGGGCAGACAGAAGAGACACTGTGCTCCACAGTTAGACACGGTCCTCAGTCACATTTATGGTACTAGAAAGCCTCAATTCCTATGCATCACATTCTACGTTTAAAAACTGAAATTTCAGCTTCTAATCTAAGAAATTTATAGTCAACAAGAAGTCTAATGGTGCTGAATCCACAAAGCTCCAAAGTAATCTTGGTTCTTTTTTACACTCTTGACCTTAAAGACACCAGAAATACAATCTCCAGTGTCCCTCTCCTTACACCTGTCATGTCGCCCTAAGAAAGCATTGAGACAATGACCAAAACCTATAAATACAGATCTGTGACATTTCTTTCTAAACTATTCCAACACTTGCAAGCCTGAAGCCTATTATTTTTAATATGGAAAAATGTATAAGCACTAGGAAGTACAAAATATATGACTATCTAGTGCCACGACCAAATGAAAACATACACTCCTCTAACTATCACTTATTTGGTAAAGTCCAAAATTTAAAAGGGACATTCATTTGAAATTATCTTTTTATACAGAGAATTCTGACTCTGGAAGACCTGGCAGCTTTCTTCAAGTCATGTTCTGGCTACATAACATACCCTGGGTTTAAAGAAAAAAACTGTAATGGAATTTAATCTGCACCTGATCTAATTTCACTGTCATCCGAGAATCAACTCTGAAACAATGTTACAGGGGACGGTTTGCTATAAATGCTTTAAGAGTCCTGGCCTTCACTCTTTAACTTGAACTTCCCAACACATGCAGTCTACTGCTGGAAGACTTTGTTTTTAATCGCCTTCTTTCTGATAAGGGTTATACCACTTTTGCAGAGTTAGTCTTCTAGACTGACTTTTCTCTCTCTCTCTGTCTCTCTCTCTCTCTTCTCTAGAACGCGATTTGTGTTAAAAAAAATTGCCCTCCCTCAAAGAGCAGGAGTTGACTGAATGGCAAAAATAATACACACGCATGCATTTATGACATGATGAAATGGGTTGTGAGAGTGGGGGAGGAATAAACTTTATTGGCCCACAGACGGAATGGAGGACTCAGAAGGAAGGGCTAGGGGAAAGAATGAATACGGGCGGGGAAAACTCAAATGGAATGATTTAAAATGTGCAAATAGAGTTTGTAACCTCCACCATTCCACTTAGAGATAGGTATGTGCTGTGACATACAGGTAGACTAAAGTGTGTCTCGCTGTGCAGTTGACGCTAGTTGTACCAGTTTTATCATTAGTAAGTCACCATGTAATTCTGCCACAGTCAGCCAAGGCGCTCTCGGGTTAGTGCAAGCAAGGTTTTCCATCCTGGGCTGCAGTCTGACCACCAGGGCTCAGAAGGCATGCTCGTGACGAACTTGCACACTTTCCAGTTCCCCACCTCCAATGGCGGCCAGGGTCTCCAGCCTGCTTAAGCGCTCCAGGCTTCTTCCAAGAACTTCTTCTAGCCGACCGCGTAACACCTGGGCCCCTTCCAGTTCCACCTGCAGAGTTCGGTCTCTCTCAGAGCTGATTAAACAGGCCACACGGAAGGAAAATGAATTAGGCATCAACTAGAACGAGTCCACATACGCTTCCAGCGCCATCAGTGTCATTCTGAGCCACAAGACTGTCTACAGTAATTGTTCTCCAGGACACGATAAACGAATGTGGTCTGTATCGTGGTGCTTGTGTTCACTGCTGGGAGATTAATTAGCAAGGCCTGCTCCATTCTTTAAAGCTTGTCCCTTTAGCCGAGAGTCTGGGCCAATCTCATATAAAATTATAGTTCCTCAGATTTATCACACCCCTATAGCCCAAATGAGAGAAATTTCATTATTTGACTAAGAGCGTTAGTTTCTGAAAAAACCAAGACCCAGGAAAAACTCAAGGCAAACTGAAGCACTACTGAACCAAGCAGGGCTGCTACTGAAGATATTTATTCTCTCGTTTGTTGACCAAACTTGACAGTGCTCTGGAAAGGAATCCGTCCGCAGAGACTAAAGACTCAGAGAGTCTTTAAAAAGTAATGCAACCAAGTGATCCTACAGTACCTTTCCCTTGCCTTCCTTTTCTTGAAGTAGAAAGAAAGAATTTTTAACCCAATAATAAACCAGAAGAAACTGAATAGCAAAAGAATAAAAATTAGGAAAGAGAAAAAGGGGCTTGGAGAAAAGGCAAAATGAAAAAAAAAAAAAAAAAGATGGGGGGATATAAAATGAATCAGAATGATATAATATACATGACCCCAAATAAACAGGTGCAAGACTACATATTCCTCATGACGGCTCTCAGTGATCTCGGGGTGATGTCAGCCATCACAATAAATAATTTTCTTTAATGATATTCAATAGGACATGGAGCAGGAAAGGAAAAGAACACACACTGGGTACTTACTATACGTAAGGCATTACTTTAGACACCTGCCAGGTCTTCTCATTGGATCTCTGCCATAATAGGCACTATTCCTGACTTAAGGTTTAGACACTCGGGCTCAGAGCA